TCTGGCACGGCCAAGAGACTGAGCGAACATTTTCTTTTCTTTTTTCTGCTGTACTGCGGATCGAACTCAGGACCTTGCACTTGTGAAGCAGGCGTGGGACCACTGAGCTAAATCCCCAGCCCCAAACATTTTCAGTTATGTATGTTGGGACAGGAAGAACTTCAGCGACTTCTACACTAAACATCAAATTCCTTGAGACCAACCCTGGTCTTTTTCCCATTGTGATCTTCATCTATTACTCCTTTTGACAGGATGCATTGATAAAATGGCTGGGTGGATGGGTGGGAGACAGAGGACACAGACAGGACTTTGAAGTACCCTGGTTAAAAGCAAACGGGCAGCTGAAATATTGGAGACAAAAAGGGAAAAGAAAGCAAAAATGGCTAACCAAAAGAGCAAGCCACTGCGCTCCCTGAAATAAGGAAGCGGATGTGTGGCCATCAGGGTGGGACCCCAGCAGGCTGCTTTGTCTGTGGAGCAGCCAGCTTGCTCCTTGGCTCCTCTTTTTCCTTTCTTCCTTCACAGGGATTAAACTTAGGGTTTTCACACCAAGTTACATCCCTAGCCTTTTTAAAAATATTTTTATCTTGAGACAGTGTCTTGCTAAATTGCTAAGGTGCCAAGTTGCCTGGGCTGAGTCTGAACTTGCAGTCCTCCCAGCTCAGCCTCCCAGAGTGTGAGATTGCTGGCATGCACCTCCAAGCCTGGCTATGTGTTTCTTTCCTACAATAAAGTGTCATTTTACTTTTGCTTCAGAGCTAGTCTTGCATATGACTTCCATCTCACACAGGCAACTGCCCCCTCCACCCAGTGACGGACGGGTAGACGGATGGGTGGATGACTCAACAATGCCGTCCCCATTTTGGAAGCTCCTAAGGGTGTCTTCATGGGCTTGGCCTAGCAGCATCTCTCCTTCCCTTCCAGCCACCATGGCCAGAGCAAGCCTGCTCATTCTTTCTACTCAAGCATCTGTGTCCTCGCCTGAGAAAGGACAGAGCCACTCCTAGTACCCAGAGCCATGACCGTAAGGCCTCCCACGGCTCAGCATTTCCCTTAAGTCTTAAACACTTGATCTTAAAGATGAACAACTTTTTCTTTGGCGAAAGATCCACCTCCCTACTTCCTATCATCTGTCTTCTATTTTGCTCTTTGTACTTTGGGAATCAAGGGATGGAAGGAGGGAGGAGAGGGGAAAGGAATGAGAAAACAATTAAGATGTATCCTGTGCATCACCAGCTCCCCACAAGGAATGTGATCATTATGTACCGCACACACGAACTAATAAAACGTTTTCAAGTTTTTAAAGATTAGCAATATTTTTGTTTCATACCCTAATATATGCTCACTTTTGCAGTGTTTTAACATTCTTACCAACGGTACAGCGGTGTTCCAAAGTCCACTGCTTCCACCCTGTGGCTTCCAGCCCACTGCGTTCCGATGACAGCTTTTGGCCACTCCGGTTGCAGAGCTGGGCCCTCCCACGTGCTCTCACAAAGAGGTGTTAGGGTTTCTAGGGGAGAGCGGGATTTCACTCTGATGCCTTTTTCTGGTTTTCAAATCTGTCCACAGCTCCCTCTGGGTGGCGCCTCTGAGGGGCACACATCACCCTGTCCTCAGTCCCTGTGCTTTCCTCCACACCAGACCGCCTGCCTACCTGAGAGGATCTCGCTGTCAACAACTGAAGGAAAAAGTCTGGGCCTAAAGGAATCTTAGACTGCACAGGAGAATTCAGACACGTTCTAAGGCCCAGACCTGTATTTGCCCTCCCTGACCCGACAGTGAGGCCATCCTCTCCCTCCTTCCTCCCACAGGAAGAACGGGGCTGTCCATCCCCCAGCTTTGCGAAGCTGCCAGAGCCCTGCTGTGAGGCTCAGCCAGGAGGAAAGATGTCGGGAAGCCCCTCCAGCGGAGGCTGGGTGCGAGGAGTAATCTTCCTGGGACTCCTGGAGTCAAAGACCTCACAAGAGGCAGAATCTGAGAATTTCTGCTTTCAACCAAGATGGAGAACAAAGGCTGGATTTACCCTGGTTCATAAAACAAAACTGAAAAAATGAAGACAGAAAAAACATGAAACTATAATTTTTAAGGCAGTGGACATACAAACAAAACAAAACAGAGCAAAACAATGATCCACAGCCTGGTGTGGTGCTGCACACCTGGAATCCCAGCATACTGGGAGGCTGAGGCAGGAAGACTGCAAGTTGGAGCCCAGCCTGGGCAACTCAGCAACTTAGTGAGACCCTGTCTTAAAGTAAAAAACACTAAAAAAGGCTGGGATGTAGCTCAGTGCAAAGGGCTGAGCTCAATCCCTAGTCGTGCAAAAGAGAAGGAGGAAGAGGAGAAGGAGAAGGAAGAAGGGAGGAAGGAAAAAAAAAGAAAAGGAAAGGAAAATGATCCCTTAGAGGTAATTTTTTTTAATGAAGCTAAGGGAACTTGAGGGATTCTTGGAGTTAAAGACAGGAAGCTAAAACACCAGGGAGACAGAAAAAGATAGAGACAGAGCCGCCAGAGATCTGCAGGGGGTTTTTCTTGAGTGTTCTGCGGAGCACTGATGAGAGCACACGCAGAAGCATTCGCTGTGAGGGTGAAGGGAAGGCGCACCCCGAATGTCACAGGCAGCGGACCAACGCCCACCCTGCCGCCGATGAGGACACACAACTCACGAGATACGCGGAAGAGGCGAAACGATGAACAATTAACCCTAAATTGAAGACAGTTCTGGCTCCATCTAACAAATCTCAGAAACAAGCCCTGAAGGGGAAAAAATGAGAACCAAGACCTGTCATGTAAAGGCACAAGATCCCAGTGATGAATGTAACCGTACTGTGCACCTAAAATGTACCAGTAAACTCATGAGGAAAAAATAAATAAATAAAAACAAGCCCTGAAATGATCAAACCGTCCCAAGGAATTAACTGCATCCCAGAACAAAGCTCAAGAATATTTATAAAAATACCCACAGCCCATCAAAGTCAAATTTATAATATCTGGCATCCTACCAAAAATTACTAGACATACAAAGAACAGAAAACCACGATCCATTATAAAGAGAACAATCATCAATTAAAGTCAACCCAGAGTAGATCCAGATGTTAGAATTAGCAGAAAAGAGTATTAAAATAGTGATAGCTATCTCCCACGTGTTCAGACAGCTAGAGCAAGTACTGAACGTTTCATATCGAAATGTGGGAGATATGTTTAAAAGGCCTAAGTTGAATGAGAAAATATTCGGAATTAAAAATACATTAGATGGAATTATAAATTAGATTAGAAGCTACTTTTTTAAAAAAAAAAGATTAGTAAACTCAAAGACACAGCAGTCAAAGTAAAACACACGGAGATGATACACTCAAAAATAACATCACTGACCTGTGGGAAAACATCAGGCAGCCCAGTATGTATGTGACCATAATCTCAAAAGAGATAAGGAAGAGCAGAAAAAAATAGATATTCAAAGTGGGAAACTCTCAAGATTTGATAAAAATTATAAACAGACCCAAAAGTTCAATAAACCCTGAAAACTATACAGAGGCATGTGATAACTACATTTCTGAGAACCAGACTGAAAGAGGAAAAAGAGGAGCAAAGATAAATGCTTTGACAAATTTTTTGTTGGAAACAACGTGCATGAGACAAGGAAGGAAGGTGTTGGAAGTACTGAAGGAAAAAAAAACTGTCCACACTTTGTGAAAGTATCTGTCAAAAATGAAAGTGAGGAGTCAGGGGTGTAGCTCAGTGGTTCAGGGTCAGCCTAGCATGTGAGAGGCCAGGGTTCGATCCCCAGCACTACAAATAAATCATACATACATACACTCTGAGTTGAATTAATGTGTCTTCAGGAGGTCCACACTGCAAAAAAAGATAAAGGAAATTCCTCTGGAAGGAAAATGATGCCCAATGGGACAGACAACAACAAAACTCAAAGCTGATCGTGGCTGTAAATGTAAAAACTAAAAGTATTTTCTAGAAATAAACAAAAAGAAACATTTTACAGCCCTGTATTAGGTGAAGATTTCTTTCTTTCTTTTTTTTGTTTTTTGTTTTTTGAGACAGGTCTCAATACACAGTTCAGGCTGGCCTCACTGTGTAGCCCAGGCTGTCCCCAAACTCACAGCAGTTCTCCTGCCTCAGCCTCCAAGGTGTTGGGATTATAGACATGTGCCATCATGCCTTGCACGTGAGGATTTCTTAACTGTAATACTCAATGTACAATTCATAATGAAAATATTAGTAAATCTGACTTTGTTAAAAATAAAAACTTCTGCTTTTTAAAAGATTTTTGTTTGTTTTTGAGACAAGCCCTCACTGTAACCCAGGCTGGCCTTGAATTCGAGATCCTCTAGGCTCAGCCTTCCAAGGATTATAGGCAGGCCCCACCACAACCACAGCTTTGAAAGATACTCAAAAATGAAAAGATGTCACGGATTGAGAGAAATATTTAGAAATCACATAGCCAAAAAGATTTCTATCCCAAAATATATAACGAACTCTCAAAATTCAGTAATGGTAGTACAAAACCCCAGAAAGGGATATGAGTCAATGACAGAGCAGTTGCCCAGTAGGCACAAGGTCCTGGGTTCAAATCTCAGCAGTGCAGGGGAAAACACACAAATCACTACATTAAAAACAGGCAGAAGATCTGAACACGCACATCACCAAAGATCTACAGATGGCAAATAATCACTTGCTCAAAAACGTGTTCCACAGAATCAGTCATCAGGGAAATACAAATTCAAACCACCGTAAGATATAATGATACACCTATAAGATGGCTAAAATTAAATTTTAAAGAGTAAGCATACTGAGACTGATGGAGTGTAAAGAAACTGGAATTAACCTACACTGACAGGCCGACGTGAAATGATGTAAAATGGAATGCTACATTAGAAAACACGACAAACATTTCTCAAAATGGTAAGCCTACTCCTACCACTGACCCAGCAATTTCACCCCTAAGCACATAGTCAAGAGAGAAGACGGTGCACTTCTACACACAGTACCTGCATATGAGTGTCCATGGCAGCTTCACTTATGATATCCACTAGGAAGCAGCAACTCACACAGTCGACAGCTGACGAATGGATAAACCAACCTGGTTATATCCAAGCAATGGAATAGTACACAGCAATGCACATGATGCCATTGGTGAATCTGAAAAAGAAAACAACCAATGCTGACTGAAAGCAGCCAAATAAACACACATATAAACTCTATTATGAAGTTGCTTTAAGATGCAAACTATATTAACAAAGTTAATCAGTAGTTTGGGGATCAAGGCATGGGGTAAAAGAAATTACAAAGTGCATTAGGTCCACCTCACCCCACAAAGAATGGCTGCTATCAAGAAATCACACAATAACAAATGTTGGTGGGGTTATAAGGAGAAAGGAACCCTTCTCCATTGTTGGTGGGAGTGCAGACTGGTGCACCCACTATGGAAGTCAATATGGAGATACCTCAAAGAGCTGGGACTACAGGTTCCATTTGACCCAGCCATCCCTCTGCTGGGTATCTTTCCAAAATAATTAGAAGAATCATATCACAGAGATATATGCACACCCATGTTTATAACGGCACAGTTTGTAATAGCTAAATCTTGGAAACAGCCCATTTGCCCATCAGTTGGAGACTGGATAAAGAAGATGTGGTTTTTCTATAAAATGGAATACTACTCAGCCATAAAGAATGAGAAATTAGATTCACTCATAGGAAAATGGATACATATTGAGGATATACTCCTAAGTGAATACATAAATCACACATGTGTAAATATTGAATAGTTTCTCTGGTGTGAAAAACTATAATAATACAAAAGATCCTAATGGTATAATTGACAATGTGAAATAGGAAGAAAAGGGCTAAAGGTGCAGGGAAAGTGGAAAGGGTAAGGGAAAGGTAATAAAGGAAAAGAAAAAAATATGAGAAAATGAAAAAATGGAAATAAAGTGTTTGTAAATGGGGAGGGAAGGAGGGGGTGGAGGGAGGAGGAGGTGGAGGCAGGGCAGGGACAAGGGGAAAAAATGAGAACCAAGACCTGTCATGTAAAGGGTATACCTAAAATGTACCAATAAATTCAATGAGGGAAAAAAAAGTGCATTAGGAAGTTTTTATGGGTGGATATGTTCGTTATCTAGATTTGGGTCATAATTCCAGGCCAAATCTGTAAGTCAGAACTTAGGAACGTGTGCTCTTTAAAATGTGTCTCAAACAAAAAACTGTGCCTCATAATCACAAATCATTTTTACCTCAATGAAACTGTTAAAAATTGACAAGACAAAAGGAATAAATGACTTCTTGGTCAAACCAGAAAAAGTAAGAAAAGGGATAAAGAGGAAATTAAAATAAACAATAAACACACATAAAAGTGAAAATAATCAATTACTATGAAATATAAATTAACTGAATTGATCCATTAAAAGATAGAGAACATCAGGTTGGCTGCAAACAAATCCAGTTAAGTAATATGTACTGGTATTTTTTTTAAAAAAAGAGGTAAAACAAATGATAAAAGTTGAAAATAAGGGAGTAAGTAGGAGATACCAGGCAAATGCAAGTAAAGGGACAGTAGACAAGCATGTTAATTGGAACAAAAAAGGAAATCCACTATGTACAAACTTTCCTGATCCAGGAAATTAAAAATTTAATAAATGAATCATTTGTCTTGGATAGGAGCTAATGCTTTGGGTACTTACTAACATGATTTTTATATTAAATACAGTCCATGAGGGGTCTATGCTGACTTTTAAATTGTTAGTCTAAATTATCACTTTTTCACAAGTGTGTAGCCTTACTTGGTGGTTCTTCAGATCAGTGCTTGCACAGAGTGAAACGGTGGATCCCGGGGATTTTCATCTTTAATTCCTGAGGATAATGTTGCCTCTAAATTACTAAGAGTCTTTGGGCTAAATCAGGACTTGTAATACGACCCATCGGTTATATGAGCATATTCTTATGTAGAAAAAGATGGAAGGGTGCTCCCTTACTGTCGTTATTTTGCTGATCACTGGTGGCCACCAGATACAACAAATCTTGGACAAGAAGCACATCTTGGATTCCCTTCCCCAGAGGAAGTAGGGTCCTGGCCCCTTCGGATTGTCCTGGGCCGGGTGTGTTCCGCTGGTGTTCCGTGCTCTCCTACTGGCCCAGGGTTCTGGTCAAAGTTGGAAGAGGGAGCCGTCCTGAGGGCCCCTCAAGTGAAGTCCCAGTCCTGCGCCTGGGGGATGTGAACAGGGGCTCTCAGAACTCAGCTTGCCGGAGTCTGCCAGGGCTGAGGAGGCTCGCAGGCAGGTCTGGGCCTGCGGGGCAGGTGCATCCTAAATTCCCAGCAGCGGCTGTGGGGAGCAGGGGCCCGGACGCTTCCTGTCCGCTTCCACCCTCCTTCCTTCACCTTTCCGTCTTGTCTCCCGGCTGTAGGAGCCACAGTGGGTGCCTGGTGCCTTCCCCCTCCCTCCTTTCCCAGAGGCGGGCGGATCCTTCGCAGGTCTCCCTGGGAACCGCCTGGGACCAGGTGACACGCGGGACACACGGAGCACGCTGGAGCGCTGCCCAGGGACTCGGCCAGCAGGCAGAGGGGTCCGGCCCTCAGCCTCAGCCTCAGCCTCGCCCAGGGGGAGAGGGAGCCACGGGCACAGCGGCGTTCCCAGGGCCAGCTCCTGTTGCCTCGCTCTAGGCGGATTCCCTCCTGCCCGCTTCCCTTCCGCTCAATTAAGGAAACGCGGGACACACGGAGCACGCTGGAGCGCTGCCCAGGGACTCGGCCAGCAGGCAGAGGGGTCCGGCCCTCAGCCTCAGCCTCAGCCTCGCCCAGGGGGAGAGGGAGCCACGGGCACAGCGGCGTTCCCAGGGCCAGCTCCTGTTGCCTCGCTCTAGGCGGATTCCCTCCTGCCCGCTTCCCTTCCGCTCAATTAAGGAAAAAGGAAGGGAGAAGGATCCTGACCCTGGAGCAACCTGGATGCTGATTTCACCCCCAGCGCCGCGTGTGCGCCTGGCCAGCGGCCCTCATTGACTCCCAGCTCCGCAGCCCTCGCGCCCTGCCTGGAAATACCCGAGCATCTTCAAAGCAGCTGCAGGTTAAATTTAGCCCTGCAAACCAGGACACCGCAGCAGCACGGAGGGACCGGTGCGGTCATCGCAGGTGTAGGGTAACGCAGGTGCAGGTGTAACGCCTGCCTACCTGGCTCGCCCGGGGAGAGCCCCGCTGCCCCGATCTCTGCAGGCTGGGGCGGCCTAGCCCCTCGGGGCCACACTGCCGCCCTGTGGGCATTTGTCACACCGCAGCCGGAGAAGAAGGAAGCCTAGGCCCCAGGCAATCTTACACTCAGCCCAGGCTGTGGACGCATCTCTCCGCCCCCTTGCTGGGCCTCCCCTGTCACCTCTTGGGTCCGTCTGGGCTCTAAGCGAGCTCAGAGAAAAAGCAGTGGACGCTGTGCTTACCAGGAGCGTGGAAGTGGAGAAATCAGGGCGAGGCCGGGCAGAGGGAGCAGGAGAGGGAAAAGACCTGGGGTAGACAGGGAGAGGGGCAAGAAACAGGCACAGGCGCCAAGAAGACACAGACAGAAGAAGAGAAGGACGAGAAAGAAAAGAGGAGCGGAGGGAGCGAGTCGGAGAAAGCGAGCAGGGCACAGCCTCCTGTCCGGACAGCACCCTGCAGATGGGCGGGCAGGAGAGAGCCGAAACCAAACCGATTTAATGCACCTCGATTAATAACTGCAAAAAAAAAATGTCTTCAAGGAGGCAAACGACACAAGAGAGAATGAGCAAAGATGTGAGGAGAAATGCCAAGCGGCTAACCCAGGGATAGGTGCCCACGTTCCCCAGTAGCTTGGGAAGTGAGATTATTACTTTTCTCCTCCTGGGCAGAATCGTCAAGCCGCTCACCCACCGCGGGCAGAGGTTCCTTCCTCACGGACGTCACCCCATCTGCCGCTCGCCAGCCCGTCTCCCTGCTCCACTCCTGGGACTCTGCCCTCGACATAATAAGAAACCACGGCCCAGAGAGGCTGAGGTGGCAGGGCTCATAAACAGCCGAGCCAGGACTCCAGCTGTGGGCTCTGCCTGTGACACCTCTGTCCCTCCTGGCAGGAGCGCGGCCAGAGAAAGGCCGGGCTGCCTGGGAGGAGTCTCCAGCCCTGAGGACCACCACAAGCAGCTCTGCCGCAGACCCTGCCGACCCTCGGTGTCCACCAGTGTGGTCCCAATCACTGGGCCCAGGAGGCTGGTAAAAATAAAGCTTGATCACGAGGAAAGAAAATAAAAGTTTTTTAGTAGCCATCTAATGACCACTCGTAGTCACTCAATAATAATAGTCAATAAGTAAATGGACAGTGGTAGCTCTCAGGGACTCCGCCCCTCCACTGCCTCTCCTAAGGCAGCTGTGCCATCCATGTGCCCCCTGTCGTCCTGTGAGTTAAAGGCTTGGTCCCACAGCGGCACTTCTGGGAGGTAGGGGAAGAGGTGAGGCCTGGAGGGAGGTCTTCAGGTCACTGGGGCTATGCCACAAAGGGGACAGTGGGCACCCAGCCTCTTCCTTTCTTCCACCTCTTGGCTCTGAGGTGAGGGTGTGGCTCTGCTGTGTACTCCACCATGACGCAGACTCAGAGCAACTGAGACCTCTAAAGCTTCAGGCTGAGATGAACCTTTCTAAGCTGACTGTCCCAGAGCCTTATACTGACAGAAAGCTGATTGACACATTTACCTCTAGTGACAAAAAAAAAAAGCAACTGGAAGGCCAGACTGGCTTTTGGCTCAAGCTGGAACTCGACAGGCTCTAAATGGGGAGCCTGTGGAGGTTGACCTTGAATTCTCTAGTTACAGATTCTCACAGATTTCCGAGCCACCAGAGGGAGCCTCATGAGGAAATACTAAAGCTAACTGTTCCAGCAGGAGGAGACCCAGGTCTACATCACAAGACTCAACGCCAGGAATTTTCCTTTATGTCTTCCAAAGGGGAGCGCCATGACTCTGAGGGATCTGGGCCACGGGCCTGGAGTCACCTGCTGCCTTTCTGCTCTCCTTGGGGCAGCCTGCCGGCCAACAAGGGCCCAAGAGGAAGGCACAGTGGGGTGAGGAGAGTCCCGTGAGAGTCCTTGATCTCTGGGGCCATGTAAAGAATGATCCCCAGACAAGTGTAAAATAAGGTGCGCTTATTTGCTGTGGGTCAGGGACACAGGGTCTTTCACGGGACTGCAGGCCAGGTGCTGGTGGAGACCACAGCCATCTCCGGGCCGCACTCACAGAGCCTCAGGGCTCACTCACGGGTCAGGCCCGGCGAAGTCCTGCAGGCTCTGGCCAGAGACATCAGTCTCTTGCCACCTGGACGTCCACACAGGGCCACTCACCACAGACAGCTTGGTCCTGGACATAGGGTGAGGGACGCAGTGAGCACAGGCAAACAGCAGGAGCCATGGTCCTTCTGCAGCCTAGTCTTGGAAGCGATATTCCTTCATCTTTGTGGTATTCTCTCAGGAGCAAATCTCTAGGTTCAACTGTACTCTGGGGAAGAAAATTACACAGCTGAAACGGGCCAAAGGTCACCCAGTTCCATTTTAGAGACTGCCTCCTATGACACAATTTGAGCCCCTAGAGCCAGCCGTGCCTGAAGCCAGATTCCTCTTGGTCTTTTCACTTGTGAGAGGTAATACATTCTGTCTCCTATAAAATCAGTTCAAGCTGGGCTCCTGCCATGGCTTCTGCAGCCCCCAGAGCCCTCCCCGTCACACTGGTACACACACTAAAGGCAAAGCCGAGTGGTAGACGGGAGGTCCTCAGAACACACTTCTCCAGGAGTGGATGCAGAAACCAAGCAGAACGCTTAATATCCCGTATGCTCCTTGATGATATTTTTGGAATTATTCTGCCTGGTTACAAAACTCCAGCATTCTGAGATTCTTCTCAGCTAATTTAGCATGGCTGTGTCGGTGTGAAAGGATGCCAAAATCAGAGTTTTCCTGCCAAAAATGACAGTGAATAGAATTAGACCATCAGGAGTGCAATTAGTTTAGACATGCTATTAACACCCCACCACGAACACAGAAGGAAAATGGAAAGTTAAAAGAAAAATAAATTTAGCTCAGTTCATGGCAAACAATAAGATAAATTTCTACCCCAAATTTGATTTTTTTTTGTTTGCAATGCCAATTAAGTGAAAATAATATCTATATGCAAATTTTTATAACCCCATACATAACACCAGAAAGATGACAAACCATGACTAATAAACTGTACTGCGGATGATACGGAGACAAGAACTTTTCCCTTCTTCACCCATCCTGAACATGCGTTTGCTGCGGTGTACAATCACGGCTGGTGTCCCAGATACGCAGCCCAAGAGGGAAAAGCCAGATGTGTTGAATACTTGATAAATATTTCATCTGTGTATTTGCTGTCAAAAGCACACCAGGGTGGTGACAAATATGGTGAATGTTTCATTTTTAGAAATTATTATAGTAAAAGACACACTTCCATGACTCCCTAGAAAATGTCCCCTCCTTTGGACACACTACCCCATCTTCTTGCAGTTCTGGAGTCCGCTTTCCAGAGTGTCCTTACGAGGTGCGATGAAAAACACAGAGAACGGCTACTACTGAGCGCCATCCAACAGAAAAGCAGCCACATGAAAACATCGCGATGTGTCCTCATCCACCTTATTCGCTGGATCTGGCACTGGGCATCTTCTGGTTCTTCCCAAATTCAAAACGACGTGAAAGGGAAACATTTGTAATCAGTTGAGGACGTCAAGACAGGCATGAAGTACAACTAAAGACGCTCCCAAAAGAGGACCCCAGAGCCGCCTCAGAAAGTGACAAGAATGGTAAGTGTGTTCGAGGCGAGGGTATTTTGAGGATTTGTGGCAGTGCGGCATTTACTACAATAGATTTCAAGAACATGAATACACCATATTTTTATCACACCTTGCACTGTTTTTAAAGAATGTTCTCAGTAATTATGTTTTTAACAAAACATCCTCATGAACCAGCATTTTCCATTTTCCTCTAGATCAGGAGCTATTAGACTCCTCTGCAGCTCCTGGGGTTTCTGCCTCAGTTGGCCTGAGGTGAGGGCCCAGAATGTACATTTCTAACAGGACTCCAGGGGATGCAGCCGCCACCATAGGAACCAACACCCAAAGCTCCCTCCCTCGGACCCTTGGCTCCAGACTCTCCCCTTTTCCAGGCACTGCCTACTCTGAAACTGGCCTCCAGTTTTCCCAACCCTGACAGCCCTCCGAACACCGTGCCATCAGCTTGAGCGGGCTGCTGATCGAGGACGGCATGCAGACTTCCCAGTCTCTATTGGAAGGATGTTTAAGTTTTGCTTTACAGAGCAGGGATTCCTGTTTACAGCATTACCTCATAGCAGCTAGAACACTTGCAGGGCTTAAAATGTTAGCAAGAGAGTCAAATTTCAGTCATTCACTGTGGGGCCTGGCCCACCCGGATGACCAGGCCCCACACCACCCACATCTGCAGGTCCTGTCAGCCTCCAGGGAGGGACGCAGCCTCACTGGAAGTTCTGTGCTCTGAGCTGAGCAGGAGGAAGTGGTCTCCCACCAGCACCAGGCTGAGGACATTTCCTGTCCAGCAGGGCACAGGGCCAGGTGAGGCCAGCAGGGTCAACAGATGCTTGGAGGACAGACCCGCGTGGCAGCAAGGCTGCTGTCCCCTCCAGCGTTTCTATCATTCTCACCGGAATGAAATGGGAGGAGAGCACCAAGCACCATGAGGTTCAGCCCAGCAGCACGGTGACTTTCACCTGGGCCTAGCTTCCTGGGGCTAATTCATCCAGATTCTCTGAGGATGTGAGCTCCCAGGCCTGTCAGCGGCAGCCTCATGTGTGACCTGTGTGAAAAAGATTACAGACTTCACAGCCTTGGTTCTGTCCTGGTGGAGATTCGAGCTGAAATCAGAAGCTGCATGTTCCAAAAATGGCTGGTAAGGAACATTACAAAAGTTTAAAAAATGCTATTACCACAGATGCCTTGAAGAGGATACCAAGCCCAGGCTTAGTCTGAAAAACACCAAATACACAGATCCAAGACAAGTTGGAGCAAAAGGCCTCTCAAGCAGAATTATAGAGCCAGGTACTTGGTGGCCATAAGTTGCCTCTTCAATTTTAGTTAAACTCCAACCATTTATATAACTTTTAATCTCCAGATTGTGACACGTGTTTTAGATTTCGCTGTTAAAAATTGAATTTACTCGTTGATCATTTGTTATGGAAAATTTAGCTACAATAAAACTCACATAGTGAACTTACTGTCTATCACCTCTCTGGTTGCACTACAATGAACAAAGCCAGGGCTATGAAAAGTGGTGTAGGCTCACTGGGGCTAGAAAGGTCAACAGAAGCCAGGCAGGGGGGTGTGCACCTGTAATCCCAGCACTTGGGAGGCTGAGGGAGGAGGACCATTGAGAGTTCGAGGCCAGCCTGGGCTACATAGCAAGGCCCTGTCTCAAAAAAACAAACCAGAAAGAAAGGAAGGGCAACAGGGCTTTTCCCTTTCCCATAAGGCAGGTAAATAGGGTTGTGGGTTTGTTAATCTGACAATAGCAGAACAGTTTTTGAAATATGGTGTGAAGGCTTGGGTGTTTTCTCCCACCTACCACAGATCCCAGCATATAGGACAGAGTGCAGTACTTGGTGAGTTCTCAGTAACTGTTGACTGAATTTCTCACCGGTTTCTCATTAATGCTGAGAGGAAAAGTAATCTGCTAGCACAGGGCTCAGCTGGACGCCAACATGTTAAGAGTAGACCTTTCCCAGGGGTCTCTGTAATAACTTCCATCAATTTACTTCAAATAGTCACTTAATCGTCACAGCAACTTTCAAACACTTAATTTAATATTATAAGGGAAGCAGAAACCCGTTCAGAAAAATGGGGTCTTTTGACCACAGGCTTTGAAATGTTGGGCCTGGTAACCTGTGTCCAAATGAAGCAGTATATGTGCCGGCCACTAGAGGGCGACAAAAGGCCAGGAATTGACTGAAGCGCCCAGAAAGTCTGAGGAGGGGCTGGGAAGACCTCCCAGTTTGTAGCAGCCAAAGTTCAGCGATCCGGGCTGGCGTGTGCCACACAGGGGTGTCTGTATCACCGACCGCTCCAAAAGGTTCGCCATCACTGGACAAACTGGGAAAGCCAGAGCAAGGTAGTACAAAGAATAGGAAAATATCTCCGAAACAGCAAAGAAAACAGAACAAAGAAACACCAAGCACGGATACAGAGATCTGAGAATAAGCATTCCTAGGTGTGTTGAATTAAAAATATCAAGGGCTGGGGTAAATAGTCAGGCCGAGCTCCTAAATGACTAGCAAGTCAAGAACCTGAGAGCAGGGGGAAGGACTCCCTAAACCTGGGCTGAGCCTCTCAACCGGAAGAGAAATGACTTGAATCAGGTGCAGCGACTGTATCTCCCTGCGCTTGCTGTGTGCTGGGCAGAAAGAAACAGCATTCAGGTCTTTGAGAGCCTGTTCACTGCGCCATCGTACAAGGCAGTGCCCACGACTACCCCACTCCCCACCTGTGGATCCTCACCGTGCTACGTCTCACTTTCCTCATCTGTTAATTGGCGATCATAATGGCGCGGCTATGTATGGGAAGGATTCAACAGAGACTTCACATTCTGCAAAACTCAACAATTTAGAGGGCCAGGGAGTTAGCTCAGTGGTCCCCCCGCCTGCCTCAAAAGTGTCAAGGTCCCGAGTTCGATCTCTGGTACCAAAATAACAATAATAGTAATTTAAGATAATCCAGACCATTCTTTTAGTCAAACATTCCTGCTGCCATCAAGTAGGAACGGTTTGCGATGAACTCCACTGGTCAACCTGAGGAAAACCAGTCCTATAACCTTGAACATCCTTGATTCTCCACAGGCTTTAGGTCAGGGAGGGACATGTAGAAATTTTCTTTATTTCAAATTTCTCACACTAAGATCTTACTAGTATTTTCTTTGCACTATATCCAATTTCTATTCATTAAATTTGCATTAAATAAGTAAGCCTTGTGCCTACCTCAGGACTGTTGTGAGGATTAAATGGGTGTGTGCGGCTGTCTGTGTCACTCACCCAGCATTCAGTGGCTTGAGACAATAGCCATTTGTTAATTCTCACCGCTCTGCCGGGCAGCTGAGGAGTTGGCTGATTTGGGCTAGGTTTCGGCTGGGCTCACTCACCCCTCTGTGGGCAGCGAGGGAGTGAATACCTCAGGCTGAATTTAGTGGCAGTAGCTGATGTGGGAGGAGGCACAAGGAAACAAACACCGGAGAGGCCCAGACCCGGAACTGGGGCCAGCACGCGGACTCCTGGCCAAGCCCAGACACAAGGGTGGGGAAGTAGAATCTGCGTAGAATGGGGATTGCCTGTCTGATTCCCACTGTACCCGTGAGGAAATGAAGGTCTGAAGAGGTTGTAGGGCTGCAAAGTGAGACAGGCAAGGTCTGCACTGGGGCAGCGTGGCTCCGGAGCCCGACCGTGAATCGCTCCACTCCATTCCCCTCCTGAGCAGACACGCACATCAGCTGGAAGCTGTGCAAGGTTCTGAGTCCTAAATGGGACCTAGCTGTCATCATGCTTTTTTCCCCGAAATCTGAACATCTAGAAAGAGCAAAAACTCGCTGTTTATCATTGGATCAGATGGTAACACAGAAGGAATGCATTCAGAAAACTGCGTAGAAAGGCACAGAAAATAAAAGTAAAAATAGGCAAATGAGATTTCATCAAACCAAAAAGCTGTACAGCCAAAGAAACAACACAGTGAAGAGACATCCTAAAAAATAAGAGATGTTTGCAAACTGTATATGTGACAAGCAGTTAATAACTAGAACAGATAAGGAATTCAAATAGAGTGGTACCTCCATTCACAAACTTAATTCTGTCCACCATTCTGGTCACAGTGCAACCAGAATCATGGAATGAATTCTGTGACCAGAATTGTGGACAGAATTAAGTTCACAAACAGCGGTACCACTGTAAAAGCAAAAACCTCAAGTAATCCAACTTAAAAGTGAACAATAGATCTAAGTAGACATTTTTTTCAAAGGAAGACACGCGAATGGCAACAAGTATGCCTAAGAAATGCTTACCATCACTAATGTCAGGGTAAGACAAATTAAAACCACAGTGAGACGTCACTTCCCTTCACTTAGAATGGTTACTGTTGAAAAGATCAATGACAAGAAGTGCTGGTGAAGATGCGGAGAAAACAGAATGTCTGCGCACTTCTGGTAGGAACATAAACCAGTACAGCCATTGTGGAAAACAATACAGTCTCCTCAAAAATTAAAAATAGAATTACCATTTGTGTTAGTTACTTTTCTTCTTGCTGGGACAAAACGCCTAGCACCCACCAGTTAAAGGAGGAAAGGTTTTACTTAGCTCACGGTTTGTAGAGGTT